CGTGGAAAAATTCAATGAGGCCAGTGGCTTCCGACGATGGCTACAGTACACAAAAAGCCGGAATACGGCTATCAAGATGCAACGGCGGGCTAAATACTCTTACGAGCTTCAGCTGGTCCGGTATGCTAAAACAAATCCGGTGTTACTACTGCTTTGTTCAGTCTAAAGCCACGCTAAGAGAGGATGTTGGGTGTCTAATTATGGAAGATGGCAGCCAGCCGGAGGAAGTCAGAGATAAAGCTGAAATGCTGCTAAGAGTCCTTCAGCATCTGCATAGGAGCAACAATGGATGTGCTGCACCATCGCAGCCACAATGTGTCAGCAGTTATATAATGCAGGACATCGTGCTGACTGCGCAAGTGGTCTTAATCCGTGATGTCCAATTTGACTCCCTTCAAATCAGCCGGTCCTGACGATGTACATCCGGCAATAGTCAAGCCACTAGCTGACATCCTTCAACATCCTGTTCTGGAGCTGTTCAACTTTTCGCTCCAGGAATGCAAGTTGCCACGAGACTGGAAGGAAGCAGCCATAGTTGCCATTCACAAGAGTGGCTCCAAATCGGAGCCCCTTAACTACAGACCTATCAGTCTAACCTGTGTTCTGCTCAAGTGTTTAGAGAAGCTTATAAGAAACCGGATTTGTGAGCATTTGGCGGAACACAGTCTACTTAGAGCAGAGCAGCATAGTTTCATTAAAAAGAAGTCGTGCCTCACTAATCTACTGTGCTTCCTCGATGAGATTACTCGATGTCTTGACGACGGGATTCCGGTAGAGGTCTGCTATCTTGACTTTAGCAAGGCTTTCGACTCAGTAAATCACCGTTTCCTACTTGAAAAATTAGCGTGGTTCGGCGTACATCCTAGACTTCTGTCTTGGGTGTCAGAATTCTTATGTGGGAGAACGTTTCGAGTTAGAATCGGTGATGTGAGTTCTAGTGTGGGCGTGGCCTACCGTGGAGTAACCCAAGGATCGGTGCTAGGCCCACTTTTGTTTCTTGTGTTTATAAACAACTTGGCTAGTCTTATTGAAGACCCCTGTTATATCTTTGCGGATGACTTGAAGCTAGTCAGCAGGGGCAACCGTGCAACACTGGCCAAGGATATCATCAGTGTGGTAAACTGGTCGAAGCAATGGGACTTGCCCCTGAATGCAAGCAAGTGCCAAATTCTGACCACTAGTAGAGACGTACTTGCAGTTCAGACTTCCTTTGGGCCCTTCCTCTTACAATGCACTACCCAGACACGCGATTTAGGAGTCCTCCTGACGAGCAGTTGCAAGCCTTCGATGCAATGTCGATACGTCACCAACAAAGCGCGATGAGGATTGTTTCGCCTCAGGAGGGCTCTGTGTAATACCATTCCAGAAGTGTTCCTGCCACTATACAAAGCAGTGGTTGGGCCACACTTAGAGTGTTCAAACTTGGTCGCCCTATCTCCGTGGTGATGTTATTTGCCTGGAGAAGATTCAAAGACTAGCAACCAGGATGGTTGAAGGTCAACGGGGGAAGCCGTATGAAGCTCGCCTGAAGAGCCTGGGGTTGTTTTCCCCTGAACGGCGTAGACTGAGAGGGGATCTGATAGAAACATTTAAGATCGTGAAGGGTCTCAGTGCCGTCGTGCCCTCTGATTTATTTGAGCTGGCTGATTCTGAACACTTGCGTGGACATCGCTTGAAGCTCAAACAGCAGAGGGCTAGACTGAACGTCAGGGCTAAGTTCTTCTCGAATCGTGTAGTGCGCAACTGGAATAAGTTGCCTTCGGAACTAATGGATTGTGAGACTGTGATTGCCTTCAAAGCAGGCCAAGACAGGTGCTGGCCGCGTATTTTTCCGGAATTAATATAATCCTATCCAATTTATTCGCATTGATATCCGGTGTTGAGCTTTGTAAAACAAAGATTGCTCTCGCTTTTGCTTCATTTCTTTTTGCAGAGGCAAGGAGAGGCGATCAAAAGTCGAAGTGCCGGGGGCTCTGGTTCGCTTACCGGTACAAGAAGCTGGACGCTCGTTAGGCGGAAGCCTGTATCGTCCACGGATTTTGACCTGACCTGACCTGACCTAACAAGATGCCGGTGTGTTGCACGTGCACGTTGGCGGCCAGACATCCATCTGTGCGGATTGGAGGATAGTCGATAACAACCATAGTTATGCAATAGGTTACTCGGACTATAAAAAATATTCGTTGCTAAATAAGCCGCTAACAGGTGACCGCGAAGATTTAGCAACCTCCTTAAATCACAAACGAAAAATATTACTTCATTCACTATATTCATAAAGGACCCCATACCGACAGATACCTGTTGGCAACACTGGAGAATAAGCAGTCCAGAACAGGCCGTAATCTGCTAGAGAGAAAGTGATGCGGTGTTTGTTTTAGGCTGTTCAACCTGTCATGCAGACCTATTCATTCCCGATCCAACGAAACGCAGTAGAAGGAACATTAACGTGATTATTCAGTTCAGTTCAGTTCAGATGGGGACTGGAACGATAGGAAAATCCCGTGAGTGTTCCATCTTGAGTGGATCGTTGAGCCAGGAATTGATGAAGTGCTCAGTTATTGATGGATCTAAAACGGAAACACCCGTATCGCACCCTGGCCAAACAGTTAATGCCCACGTTTCCTGCCCTAGCAGTCCCTGCTGTGGCAGTCACGTGAAGTAAGCAAAGGATGGGAAGAGAAATCGAAGGTACAGAATAGGGAAGTGCACTTAAATAAGAAAATAATACCAATACGTGAAGAAAAGTAGAGAAAAGAAAATCGAAGTACGAAGATGTGAGTTACTCAGGAAAATGGAAAGGTTTCGTGTTGCCACCCAAGAGCGTCAAGTTGCCGCTCAAACCCCTTAACCGTAGATTCCCTGATAACACTTTCCGGAAGCATGTTCCAGCGGTCGATAACTCGGCGTGACAGCCGGATTTCCGCCCTAATCCGATCGGACCGCGGTTTGTCCAGCTTCAACGAATGACCGCGTAGAACAGACAATCTAGCGGGACTGAATAGCCAAGACAAATCTGGACCAACCTTCCCAGTCAAGATACGGTAGGTTAGGATTAGGTCTCCTCTAAGCCTTCGGTAGTGCATTGAATGCATTCCCAAACTAAGTAGACGCTCGGGGTACGTCCGTCCCCGTAATCCCTCGACTAACCTAGTACCCACTCGTAAAACCCTCTCTAGCTCCATTTTGTCCCGGACGAGGCAGGGCGGACAAGCCTGGACGCAGTATTCCAGATGAGGGCGAACGAAAGCCGAGAACAGCCTCGTAAAGATGCCGCCCGTCAAGACTCCGAAAGAACGTCGGATTAACCACAACATGCGTAAACCTCTGCTTGCGGCCTTCTTCCAGTTGTCGCCGGAGTGTAACGCCGAAGAGTGTACGACGCCTAGGTCAACCTGGCTAGATACACGGGGGAGTTCGACCCCACCGACCAAGTACTTCGCAGGAGGACAACCTCCTCCAATTCGAAGAACGGAGCACTTTGCCTGATTTATGGGCAGTAACCATAAAGTAGACCAATCCCAAAGCTTATCCAATGCTCGCTGAATAGCTTCGGAACCCCCAGGAACATCAACAATGTTCCACAGCTTCAGGTCATCAGCAAATAGCAGCGATGGTACCTCAAGCTCCGTGGGTAGGTCATTCACATAGATAGAGAACAACAGCGGTCCAAGGACCGAGCCATGCGGCACGCCGCTGAGGACAGACTGCCTAAATGACAGACCCCGGTCTACCCGTACACATTGTTCTCTACCCTCCAAGAAGGCAGTCACCCAATGAAGGGCGCGGCCAGATACCCCGTAGGAGGACAGCTTTTGCGCGAGCCTCAAATGGGGTACCTTGTCAAATGCCTTCGAAAAGTCGACGAAAAGCACGTCCAGCGTGTGGCCGTTATCCACTGCATCCGCCCAATTTTCGCGAGCCACCAACAGATTCGTCAGACACGAAAATCCCTTCCGGAATCCGTGTTGTACATTGCTAAGTAGATTAAATCTACTCAGATGACTCTCTAATGAATCTCTCACCAGTTTCTCGAGGAGTTTGACTACTACACTCGTCAGACTAACTGGCCTGTAATTTGCAGGCAGACCCCTGTCCCCATGTTTAAAGATGGGACAGATGACAGCTTCCTTCCATTCGGAAGGCAATGCACAACTGTCAAGCGATTTCTGAAACACAATAGCGAGCGGTCCACTTAGTTCCGCAGCCAACTCATGCAACAGTTTCGGGTGAATTAAATCAGGCCCAGAGGCCTTAGAAGGGTTCAGCCCTTGTAACAGCCTACGAACTGCAGTCTCCGCTACAATAAATTCAGATAGTTCTGAACCCTCTGGAGTCCTGCAAACCAGCTCAACGCCTGTCAAAGAGGTTTCCCTTACAAACGCTGCCGCATATTGACTAATGTTCTGATCGTAACTGAACTTGAGCTTGAACTTTTGTGATAATAGATACTTGCGTTTACACAAGAAAAAAGGAGAAAAACAAAGACGCAAAAGCAACAAATCACTGCATTTTACTGTATTTGCATAGGCTACGTGCCTGTGGTTAGAAGCTGAAATGCGCAATCAAAAGGCTTTGGGGAACAGAGCCAAGCACATTTCGTTCAGGCCTATATTTAAGTGTTGTCATTAAAATATGCGTGGCCTGAAATAACGGACATCTGGAGTTGATATATTATTGGCCAATCTATTTACCGGATTCGCAGCATCTGATTAACCGTTTCTGTGTGCATTCGAATACGCGACAGTCGGTTTATTGGGATTTACGCGCATTAAAGCACAGGTTTAAAGGTAAAACAGATTAGAATGACAGAGTTTAGATCATATGCATAACCAGTGAAACCGATCAGCAACCGCCGCCACTTCGAAAGTACACTGTAAAGTCTGCTTTCAATCACGTGAGAAGGACGCTACCGACTTGGCTGCGGATACGGCGCAAACATGGCTACTGTTGTGGACGATACTTTCATCAACAGGGAGAAAACTTGTCCACTTTTGTTGCGGATGTTCTATAGTCCCGTGAAACACAATAGTGTTTTAGAATACTCTCGTGGACGAACGCCTAGCAACGAGTTACAGGTGTATACGTGGTAAGCACGCTGTTGTCCCCGTGGTTTTACCACCCGGTTCCTCATTTAAGTGGTTATTTCGTCTTGCAGTTTGGCTTGAATCAGTAACGAAAATCCTTAGGCAACTAACACTTATTTGACTAACTACAGTATGTGATGTCGATATAATTTCTTATGCTGTCACCAGGTGAATTCTTGACCACCGCCTGGTCTCTTCTAGTTGCCATGCACGAACGAACAGAACCCGATTAGGCAAACGCCTGGCTGACATACGCAGGACGTAACCGAGCCATCTTAACTGGTGCAGTAAAACCAGCTTATTGAAAAGAAAACTCGAATTGCGTAAGATGTCTGGCTTCACGGTTGGAGATACGCTTTTGCCAGCTTACACTAGCGATTTCCCTCAGGGATCCATTATCAAAGGCCGAAAGCCGGTGCATGTCACCTACACGAACTGGCTATGACTAACTACCATATAACAACACCACCCGAATGTTGGCATTACAAACACGAGCTTTTACCAAGAGGGAGACATCCTGACGACGCCACAAGTGTTTCAGGTTCAACATAGACCGGGCTTTGGCGATGTAGAGAGAAATTTCTTTGCTGATAGCGCCACCACCAGACAGCTGCACAAGTATACACACCTTTCAATTGGCTTAAGCTGTGTGCCCTCAAGAGTGAACACGGGTACTTGGGAGTGCCATTCTTGGAACAGCACTCTGCATTTCGCTGAGGCGAGGCACATTCCGTATTTAGATGCATCAATCGCTCAGCGGTTTAGAATGGTCTGCATAACCTGCGTGTTGTCACCAAGTATGGCGTTGTCATCAGCATAATCTAAGTCATTCGATCGCTTGTCCGCTAGTAGCTGCAAAGCAAATTGCTGGTAACCCTCCAGAGCTTTCCACAGGACGTTTTCAACCGCAAATTTGAACAGGAACACGGACATAGGGCGAAGCTGTCGTACACCGCTATCGATAGCGAAAGACGAAGAAAGCTTCCTATAGACCCTCACTCTGCCGGGAACGTAGAAGTAGAAGGCGCGCAGGATGGCAGTATACTTTTCTAAGACCCTGTTCCTTAGCAAGCAATGCTATAGCGCAGGTCGAGTGCATCACGGGTCTAAGAATGCAACGATGGTAGCTGTCTGGTGCTGGTGGCGCTGTTCGAGGATTTGGCGGAGCGTGAAGATTTGATCCACACATCCACGGCCAGGACGGAAGCCAGATTGTTCTTCCCGGTACTGAGATCCACGAATCGGGATTGTTTCCTAAGTAATATGGATGCCAATATGTGGGAAGTAACCGCAATGAGACTGATCTAAAGATTAGCGCATAAAGTGATAGCGCCCTTCTTAAAAATCGGGACAGTATGAAACTTGCCCCAGGAAGAAGGTACTTTTTCATGCCAGCTTTTGAAGAAGAATGAGGTGAGCTGACTGATGATAACTGCATAACCATATTCGAATAGCTCTGGAGGAAGTCCGTCTGAACCGGCAGTCTTGAATCGCTTCAAATGTCTAGTCGTAAGACAAACTTCTGCTTCATTGGGTGGGTCAAGTGTAACGACCCAGGACTGGCAGTTGGGTTTACAAGGTATACAAGTGAGGGTCAATTGAACCGAGAATGAAAATTCTCAACCCATCGATCCGACCGTCTTTGTAGGTTAACAAACAGCGAACCGCCAGCTTCGCAACTAGTTTCACTGATGCCGGTCTTGTGTCCAGTGGACCAAATGAGCTGGAAGAGCTTGAGAGCATTGCCAGACAGGGCGGCGGCCTCCATTTCCGAAGTATCAGACTTCGCGATCACTGCGTAGCTTTTGTGTAGCTGCCAACTAACAGAACGACACTCCGTTATGATTAGCTTCCGCTAAGATATTCCTGTCGTGTTCAAATAGATTCGGGGAGCGGGTGAAGATCCAGACCTTCATAGGGTGCTGAATAAGACCACAGACTGACTATCCGGAAGCGATCATGGTCTTCTGCATGAAGGTTCTGTTCATCATTGCTTTGTGGTGGGGTACAGCTGAGTGCGTCGGTCAGGAAAGATTGATAGCTTTGCTGAACCAATAGAGTAGATACTTTATTTGTACCCACCTTACAGTGCTCCCGAAACTCATGCAGATGTTCGTTCAAACAGAAGCATCGTTTGAGTTGAGAAATCTGAACCAGATGGATTTAAAATTTTCTACACTACCCAGCCATCTGTAACTAATTGTTTTGTTGTCGATCTGAGACCATGAGCGCGTAGCACATGGTAAGCACCAAGTAGCGAAACGTCTCTTCGAATGTCTGAAGCTGGTACTGGAGAGAAACAAACGATTGTCTTCACACAATGTAAGAAGTTTTTCTATTATTTGAGCTAGTTCCTGGTGAGCGACTTTTTGACTTGGAGTATGCGGACAATATTGCTGTAATCTTTGGCGGCTCCCGAACGTGCCAAATAGCAGAGAACCGATTGGCACTGGGTGTCAGTTGTTTTGGGCTATGCTTTGCTCCATCGAAATGCAAAGTCCTTCACCAAGATTGGCAGGGACCCACCCCTTTGCTGAAACTTGGTGGTGATCAGCTAGAAATCGTCCGGGCATTCAAGTACCTGGGCAGCTATATTAGCGAAGGTGAAGTTACTAACCGCATAGAAAAAGTCCAAGATCCTTTTGTCAATCTGCATCACCTGTGGAGCAGACGCGACATCAATCTCGCCCTGAAAGGCAGAGTTTATAATGCAGCCTCCGTTCAACCCTCTTATACTGTTGTGAAATCAGGCCTATTAGGTCGACAGACATGAAGAGCCTAGTTACCTTTTCGATCATCGCTGCCTTCACGCTTTAGTTCGTGTCTGCTTGGGGAACTGCGTGGGCAATGAACCTGTTCGGCGTCGTGTATTAGGTGCAGGAAAGGTAAGTGAACCGCTCAACATCATTGTATCACGCACTAGGCTCCGGTGGCTAGGCTACCTGCTTCGCATGCCAGCACATCGACTCCCGCGACGTGCATTGTTTGCGCACCGGGGGTGCGATTGGAAGAGGATGGGAAGTCAAGTGCTGACTGCCTAGAGGAATGAGAACCCTCACGTTGAAGTTGGCGTCGGTTGGTGCATCCCGACTGCCTGGCTGGGGTCCTAAGGACGATGAACACTTTTGGTTGGACACATTTGCCGCTACGGCGTTTGTGTCGTGAATTTCCTTGTCCATTCTTCTCCCCTTTAGATTCCCTTTCCAATTCCAATCTCATACGAAATGCGTAATACAATATTTAACATTATATTACTTTTGAAGTTTTTGGGGTATAGTATTACTGTTATTTATTTGTATTAAGGGACATTAGTTGTCTTTCTCACCCTTAGCTAACATGTATTGATTGATTATTGATTCATTATACGCGGCTCTCTTCGAGCTCATGGTTACCACCGAAGTGACTTTCACATGCTGATTGACGACCGACCCGTGCGTTAAGATCCTCAGTAAAAACAACAATATCGGATTTTTGAGCTCTGCTAAAGAGCTGATGAAGTACACGATAGAGATCGCTCTTGACCGATTCGCAACTGCAGTCAGTTGGAGCTTAAGCCGAGAGCACAAACAATTTGCGTCTCTCCTCACCATGTCTATTGATCCTACATGATCTTCGAAGCCGGACTGCACATGGCTGTTAAACGGTAACTAGCAGTGTGGCCTTGACTTTACTACTTCGTACTACACCAACTCCAACCAAGCCTGCCGCGGCTGCTTCTGTATCACCAGATAGACGTAGGTGAAATATAGCTCCGTTGTCGGTAGGAGGTTTGAACTCAATCACGCTACTGGGATCTTGCAATAGATGGTGCGGGATTCCAAACTGAGCGCGATATCAGCCTGTTGCACGATCTGCATAAGTGTACATACATTAAAGCATGTCAGATAGAAAGGTCGAGACCGAATGAAAGCCACAGGTCAAGCTCTGTGGTCGTCGATCGGGAGTAGAATCATGGAAACAGGAGTCAGCTGTTAACAGATAAAATTGGACGGGTGGCATGTGATGATGTGAGCAGTAGGAGCAAGTATTGTTAATTGCGAGGAAGCAGCAGAACGGTCCATCGTTTAGTCAGTGAACGTGATACTACCTGTTTGCCAAAGCCGAACTAGGGAGTTGTCTTTAGGAGACACTACCTCGAGACATTGGCTAAATAGTTTACCCGCAAAGCCGCGAGGCGAATTCAGGAACTCGTGCCCATTTGGAGCCGGTGACCGCTTACTCAGTTCTTACGCCTTTCGGTTGGTCGACTCAAAGCGGGGTCCAATCCACCCTTGCTGGAGTACAATACTCCACCTAGTTGAAGCAAGGAGCAGTGACCTTATCTAGGGACGAGTCGCATCTGCCACGGTAGTGTTGTTAGACAGATGTATGGCTTTTTACAGGGAGAACGCTTTTCAGATGAAACCCTGCCACGTTCTGGAACATTGCCGCTGAACTATTTGGCTTAGCGGAGTAAACCCGAGCCACCTAGTTGGTATGACGAAGAGGTAGTTCGGCAAGCCAGCCATCATTGTGATAGACAGTATGTTGGTATTCTACACGAACTTAAATATTGTTGTTTCGTTATTTATTGGATAGCAATCAGGTCGTGGTTGGAGGAGACTAAACGGGATGTAGTGTGGGAAAGAAACTCTCGACACTGACGCCATTGAAGTCGGCCCCTGGCCAAACCTGCTCGTCGTCTCTTGAACCCCAATAAAAGAGTCGAGAGACTCCGACCAGGGCCAACTTCGAAGTGAGGGCCTTCATTCCTTTTGACCAGATCATTGGTTAGCATCCCCTCATTTTCCATATGCCCATTGCTCTGCTTTTTAGGAGGCTCAGCTTGATACGCGAACGGAGCGTACGCATAAACAACGCTGCCAGTTAATCAATACATTCATACCCCGAACACGCAAACAATACACTTCGCTGGAGTCGGTGTACTGGCATGCTTAAAACGTGACCAAGCCATCGGGATGTGCCGCGTGAAATAATGGTGTATGGTTCACTCGTTATTCCT